CTCACCAGGCCTCACCCCAGGGGCACAGGGCTGCCAGAGCCTGGGCCCGTGACATGTGTTCAGAACAAGTAAATTTAGAATGAAGCAGTAAGGCTAAAGTCACAAGGGAGTGGCTCTGAGTTCCCCAAATACGCAGGGATGGGTGGGCAGGCTGTCACACCCGCCGTCGCCTTTCTATTTCTGGCAGTCAGCTCGCCCCGGGCCCGAGCGTTACAGATCCGCGCCTCTTCCACACGCCGAGCTCCGGTCAACAGCAGAGGTGTCTGTTCAGTGGAGAAAGGAGCCCAGGAGAGCCGTCATCCAGCGCTCTAACTGGGAAGCTGGGGCAGCACCCAGGCGCCCAGCAAAACCCAGCCTTGCTCACCGTTCCCACGCCACGTGCCGACTCACCCATCTTCACACTACTGGTAGGGCAGATTTGCAAACACAGGACCTTCCGAATTACTTCCTCTGGGTTTGCAAAGGGAGAAGCAACAGAAGCAAGCCCCGCCCACTCGGTGCGGCGCGTGGCCGTCACACCACCATTCTCAGACTGAGCAGATGTCCAGAGCCTACCACCCCGGGCTCTCCATCGTCCTACCGGAGGTGGGGGGTGATGCGATCAGAGCGTCAGTCCCTGGACCGCAGGCGGCTCCCCCAGTGGCCAGCAGCCCCACGCCTTCCTCCGTGTTCATCTCCAGCCACAGCAGCCGCTCAGAGCCTGATATCACATCAGCAGGTGCAGCCTTGCCCCACACCGCGCAGTGCGCTTGCTCTGATCCCCGACGGAGCTCATGAGGAAGTGGCCGAGCCACGCAGCCACACTGGAGGCATGATGGGACAGGCTCAGGGCAGGTGGCTTGCAGGAGTCCAGCAGGAGCACAGTCTCAGGAAGGCCCTCAGGCACACGGATGATGGACGACGGGGGGTGGGTGCTTTGGTTCTTTGAGGGCACGTAGAGAACGCTGGAGCCAGAAATGCCTAGAGAAGCCAGCGCTGCCTGGCCTCCCAGGTCGACTGGGAGACGGGGGTGGGTGGGGGGAGACAGAGTCTCGAGGCCAAGCTGCGGGCCTCAGGCTTGCCTTTTGGGTCACCAATGGGCCCCTGCATGTACAGGGTGGGTGAGAGACCAGTCCGCAAACCAGGCGGCACCCTCCACTATCACAAGCCCCCACGATCAGAGCGACAGGTCCCCAGGGCGTCTGACCCCAGTCATCACGTCACCAGGGTGAGTCCACTACTCTGTTCCAACTCAAGCCCCTGCACCCACCAACGGGCTGCCCAGCACGTTCAAACTCAACCACATGGTCACACCCCCGACCACAGTCCACGCGTGAAACCTCAGACAGAAGAGATGACAACGTCACAGTGTTCCCACCAGCAGGCTGACAGCCAGTCCCGCGTTCACTACCCTCTGCCCCGCGCGGACAATGTGAGGAGTGCGTGGCCGGCCCACACTCAACTGCTGGAAGAGAACAAAAGGGGAATAACTTCCCGGAAGAGAGGTGTTTTCCTTACCCAAGCTTTGATTTTGATTTTCACACTAAAGGGACCTTATGCATGTTTCTAGAGAATTTTCCAGAAACGGTGATTCTGGAGCAGAATGGTATGTGTGCACGCCACTGGGCATGCTAGGGAGCCGGTCACATCCATGCAGTGGTGCTGGAGGAGGTCTGGTCCTGACCAGGGTCTTTGGGGCCCACGGAAACTACAGCAGCTCTTAAAATAAGGGAAGCAAAATCACAAAACCAGATTGCACTGCCGACTCCACAATTCAGAAGAATGAGTTTATTTCAGGACCCAGACGACGCACTGACCATCGATGGGAGCACCAGGAAGAGTGGCGCAGGTGCATGTGGCTGTCGACGGGACCGTCATCTGGCGAGTCCAAGCAGTGCAAAAGGTCAGCCCGGAGTCATTTAAAGCCAACACGGATGGCTGGAGAAGGGCCACCTCGCTGAGAACTCTGGGCTTAAGTGGTATGTCTTTATAGCCTTCCATGTCCTAAAAATGGCTTAAGATGACTCCCAATAATAGATAAAACTTAACACGATGAATAGCATAAAAATGAGCAGAGGAGGAAATCCAAGGGAAGAAGGAAAGACACGCTGGTCCAGCTGCCAGAGGCATGTGGAGAGCCTCGCATCACTGTGCACGGGGCACCCGAAGGGCAGAGACCCCGCTCTCCCCCAGGTACTCCCCACCTGACGTGGCTCGTCCCGCCATAACCCAGTTCAGCCCCCCACGCCCACCCCCTGCAACAGAGGAGAACCTTCGGAGAGAGGACGTCTCAGGGCGGCGAACGGCGTGGTCCACGCAGGCGGTCATCTGACCCCCGGGTTCAGGCCAGGCAGCTACTCTCGGGAGCACTGTTGGCCACCATCACCTGGTTTGGAAATCCAGCTCCATCCTCCCTGCTTGCGACTCTCCCCCCGACCCCCTGCCCATCTCCCTAGGTGATGCCAGCCAGAGACCCTCCCTCGGGCCCCTCCCCTGGGCTGAGCCGCCCCCTCTGTGGGCCCCGCCCCATGGGCGTCAGATCTCCCACCACCACCACCGAGGTGGACATCGTGCTTGCGTCCTGTTCACGGGTGTACAAGCTGAGCCCAAGCTTGCACAGGTGGAAAATGGCAGAACGGGGCCCCACACATGGGACGACCCTCCACGCGTGGGCGGCCTCCAGGCTGCTCCACCGCAGGTGTTCCGGTGCGTCATTCACCGCGATCACCACAGCTAATACGTAGTGGCCAGCAGCTTCCCGCCTGCTTGCGAAGTTACCCGCTCGGGAGCGGCTGGCAGTCCACAGGCGGCTCTGTGGAGAGCGTGACAGTCAACCTAAACTCAGACCCAACACTCAGCTGACCCCCACAGAAGGACACGCGGTTGGCCTCCAAGAAGCACTTACATCTACAGCTTGAAACCCTCTACCAGAGGAGTAGGGGCTGGTCACTTGCTCACAGAAACACATATTTTTATGAACGGTGTGGCTGGGGAGCCCTTGGAAACTGTCTTTCCAGAGCCTGTTGACAACAACCTAATCACGTCTATACCCACATCCCATTTTCCAGCAACCTTCAGCATAGACAGCAAATGCCGCGGGGGCTCGGCCAGCGCGGGGAGGCGGCCTCGGCCTCAGCCCTCTGCCCGGTGCCCCCCAGTGCTGCGCAGTCTTCTCCTGGAGCTTTGCAAAGGCTTCTCTCTGACCTTGACAAGTCACGACCTTGATGTGTCACATTGTTTCCCAGGCGTGGACTGCAGCTATCCCCTAAAATAAGGACCGTGCCACGTGGTAGAAGCAAGGCCAGAAGCAAAAAGCATCGCGGAGACAACCACAGAGAGTTTTCAAAAAGCCTAACCAAGCCAGAACTCAACACCAAGTCTCCTGAGTCCCAGAACCGCGCCCCCCTCCCCCCAGCCCATTACACTGCCTGCCTTTGCCGAAGCCTGGATGGAACGGGATGCACACCTAGACCTCCACATCCACCGGCGTCTGCCCCGCAGCTTCCTGCTACGGTGTTACCGTTGCTCCGGGACCCTGACGGAGGGAGCACCGGGATAGTTCCCATCCCCCCAACCCCTGCTCCCCAGGCCTGTGCCCATCACACACCCCTCTGTCATTTGCCTCTGCACCTTTCTCCCCGGAGCAGGGGCCCGGCAACACAGGATGGCCCACGCGGGCCAGCACATGCCCAGCTGGCACGAACCCTTCGATGGATACACCAGGAGAACTGAAATGGAAGGAAGCCACTCAGAAGTGAAAGGAGCTATTAAGGGAATTCAGCAGAAAAAGCCGACGATTCTCTTTCATGAATCCACCAGCATACACGTGATGGCAAACAGTCCCGTGGTCCCCGCACCAGACACGAGCCCAGCGCTCTGCTCGCCGGCGCCACTCTGGTCCTGCCACCACATCTGGAGGATCAAGCACTGGCTCCGTAACCTCCTGCTTCTCTTCCGGAAAACTGTTGAGAACACCGTTCCTTTGCCTTGGCGACTTCCATAAACCATCCTGTACCGACCGGCAGAGGCAGATTCTTCCTTTAGTGCGGGTTAAAACGTTGGCGCGTTCCCACCTGCATGCCTGGAGTTGCTTCAGAGGAGACAGAAACATCACTTCTTCTGAACACGGATTTCTTCGGCGAGGAGGACGTACCACAGCGGTATTTACCACAGTCAAAGTGTGTACAATATTTAGCCGCTAATGACTACAAATAACAGCTTCCTAAAGCTCGGTCATTAGTTTTTGGCTTGCTAGCCCAAAGATATGCACTAGACTGATGGAAATGCCGTAAGTAGGAGGTGTTTTCTGAGGTCACTATCTAGACCAAGTAATTCCACAAACACCAAAGCGAGCGAAGCTTGTGGCCCAAAGCAATGGGCTCTTTCACAAACCCCTCCTGGCTTTCCAGATCTCCTCTTCCAGGTGACCTGAAACGGGCGTTTTTCTAAAGGTTTAAACTCTATAAGGCTACGATTTTATTAAAAACAGTACGTAACTATGGAACTGGCCCTCGAGGAGTTTAGAATCTAGTTGACAGCGGAGGACCTCTGTACACCTGCTCGATGTCACTGACCCTGTAAACAACCAGCTGCTTCTGAAATTACTACCGCCATGACCATCTCTGCCTGGAATCCATGCATTTTATTCTCTGTGCGGCTCTCTCCTGACACCTTCATTTTCTCTTTAGAAAGAAATAGCACAGTTCAGTACATTTTGAAATATCAATCTGGTTTAAGAGTTTCAAGTATAAAGAAATATTCACAAGCTCTACACGTGTCTGCAGCTCCATTATAAGGACAGCTTTGGAAGTGGGAACATCCCCAAGGTTCTTAAGCCTGAGGTGCACCTCACAGATGTGGGCAAACACATGGAAATCCTGAATCCACCGGGCTCTGACCCCCTGTCACGGTCACCAGCGCTCAAGAGGCAGACTCTCCTTCTGGAAGTTTCTAGACTGCTAATGCTGCAATCATTCCCTGCCGAAGTAAGATTACAGGAGTGCATGTTCAAGAGGGCTTACCTGGTAATCTGTGTTCTTGTGCTGAAGTCAAGAGACCTCATTGAGCGGAGAACTTCAATGCAGCCCAAGTACTGCAAGGGAAAAAACATAATCATGAGCCCGGGGGGTCGAGATGAAGAGACAGCTCCTAGCCACATCAAGGGCATTCCTGGAAGCTGTGCATGCTTCTTAAATCACATTTTAACTTTATGTGCCTCTTGAGGCTTTGTTCTCTTTCTGGAAAAGCAATAACTCACACCCATGAGAAAGTATCCTCGAAGCCTACAGGCCGCCAGACTTGACTCTCCCAAGATCCTTGAGTATTTGCATTTTATTCAGGAACATATTTTTCAAAAACTTCTGTTGAAGTATAACGCATACCATAAAGTGCAGAAATCTTAAGTGCATAATTCCATTATTGCCTAAACACGTCCCGGCGTGTGACCACCCCAACATCCAGACCTCGTATTTCTAGTCCTTTACAAGGGTCTAGAGTGTTATAATTTCTGAAGAAAGAATGAAAACACTCTAAGACTAACATGTTGACCAATATTAGACCTCATTATTTAACCAATATATTTTGGGTTCTGTCAACAAACTATATATCCATGACCCTCCTAGTTGCTTTATTTTGGTTTACCAGAAAGCCCTCTTCTGCATTATGTAACACAAACTTTCAGAAGTTTCAATTTACACATCTAAATTTGTAGCTAAATCTTTAATCCGTTTCACACATGTAAGCGTGTGTGTGTATGTAAATGTGCGGACATAACGAGAGCTGTACATAAACAACTAGATGGTGGAGATACAATATTTGTGTGCCAGAGCCCTTGGGAATTTGAAGGACAGATGTTTTCTACCAATGCCTTTAAATTTAGACTTCGCAGGAAGAGGCCTCATGGTGTAGTACAGAAAAGACTGCATTTGAATTATTCAGAAAACTGGAATTGGAGCCTGACTCTGTCATATCTAGTTATGTAACTTTGAGCAAAGCTTCAAAATTCTCTGAACGGAAGCCTCTGTACCCATACAACGTGACTATGCCTCCAGCCCTCGTGCAGCCACGTGACACCACAACCACCACATCGCACAGTTGCTGGAACACCACCACCACCACAGCCATGTGGATACAATGAACAACATCATGGAGACACACAAAGCAGATGACCACTGGCACGGCAGAGTCTCGTGACTACAGTGACCAACATCACTTCTGTGCCTGCCAGGATGAACGTCTCGGGACCGTACGGCTCCTAGCACCACTGCCATCACACAGTTACACAAATCCCACATCCACTGTCACAGAGTTCCGTGAATGACCCACTGATCATCCTCCATGACGCTGTGAGTCCCTTGAGAAGTGGGAACAACACTGCAGGGTTGGGGGGGCAGGTGCCGCTGCTAGTACGGCTGTGCAGATGCCATCACCACCATGGCAGGGGTATGTGACTACCACTGCCGCTGTCACTCGGATATGTCAAGACCTCAACCCTCTTTGCAGAGTTATGGGATTGCCACATCCATCACCATCACAGCATGGTGACATCACAGCAATGTCCCAGAGCTACGTGAATACCACCACCAGCAACGTTACGAAGTGAAGTAATTAGAATGACCAAAGTGGCAGAGGTGTCAACACCACCACCGCTGCTGCTCAAAGATCTGTGAACACATCACCCCCACCACGCAGAGTCACACAGTTACTCATCCACAACTGTAGGCATACAGGACTACCCCAAGACCACCATCACGGATGTGACTATGACAAGAACCACCGCAGATACCTGATGAGTATGCTGCCCGCCAGAGAGCTGTTGAATACCACAGCCAGTGTTGTCGTTATGTGAACACAACTGCCGCTTTGCAGAGAAATGGGAGTACCGTGAACACCGTCATAGGTGTGTGAGTCCACCGGCAAGTCTGCAGTGCTGCTGAAGGGATCACGGCCGTCACGCAGAATTGTCTGAATGCAACATCCAGTCTCACAGTTGTTGCTACCACGACTGAAGCTGCAGAGCTGTGTGGAGACCAAATCCTCCAGCACGGCAGCGTTACACGAACGCCATGATGAGCATCACCGAGTCTGATGGATAACACCCCGGCTGTGCGTCGGTAGCCGTATCCCCACGTCACCACTGCAGTTATGGAAACATGGCACCGCCACCACTGAAGACTTATGCGAATACCACCAACGCCACAAATACCCCACAAGCACCACTACAGTTAATTAAACACACCACCAAGAGCATCTTGGATTCGTGGGAAGATGATCAAAAGAATTGAAGAGGTCTGTGAATACTGTCACTGACTTCAGAGTTATGTGACTTAACCAACAGTCTTGCAATTATGGGGATACCATGACCCCCAACAGAGGGTTATGTGAAGGTCACAGCAGCCCTGAAAAATTATGGGAACGCCGTGACCACACTTTCCGAGTTCTGTGAAGACCATGAGTGACTCTGCAGAGGTATAGGATTGGCACAGCCAATACCATCTCGGAGCTATGTGAAGATCACCACTATGGCCGTGTGGAATTTCCAGAATACCAGAACACCATGGCAGAGCTAGGCGAATACCACCACATGGCCATCCCACAGACACGTGGCCACCACAACTATTGTCACAACTGCCACCTTGTGAATACCATGACCACCAACCAGGAGACCTGTGTCTCAGACCTATACAAATACCACCACCTTGCAGGGATGCACTAATGCCAACACAATATCATCACAGATTTGTGTAGACACCATGACCAAGTCACAGGGTTGTCTGAATTATACCATCAGCACTGTCACAAGATACATGACTGGCACCATCAGTTTTGCTCAGTCATGCCAATGCTATGACAAATGCTGCAGGGTGGTAGGAACACCATAATGAGCTTCACAGACCATGTGAACAAAACCTCCAGCAACATTGCAAGGTCACGGGGAGACAAAATCTCCGTCACATAGTTATTTGACTACCACCTCTGCCACCATCCTGCTGGCATGAGGGGAGAACACCATGACCAACCACACAGAGTCAGCAGAACCATACCAGCAACAACATCATAGAGTCACAGAAATGCGACTACCACAGTTGAAGATGATGTGCATGGAAACACCAGCACCATGCCAAGGCTATGTGGATCCATGACCAGCTCATAGAGCTAGAGCTACGTGAATAGAGAGGCAACGATGCAATTATGGGAGTACTACCATCAACACAGCCATAGAGTTGTGCTACCAGGATCAACAAAATACAGATATGGAGACACCATGACCAACACGACCAACTATGTGACCGACATGACCAATACCACAGTGACATCTGAATGTCATCACCACCACACCACTGCAGGAATGGAATATCAGGACCACCATAGCAGGCTTATGTGACTACCATGATGAACTTCACAGTCGTGTGGGCACCACCACTCGGAAGGAGAATTACATGAACACCATCACCACCAGTCCTGCAGAGTTATGTGGATACCACTGTGGCACGACACGATGATGTCCACACCATGACAAATGTGCACACTTCCACCACCAGCACAGTCGTGTGGAGGCCACAATGTTAGAGAATTATGTGAACACCAGCAAAACCATCACAGCTACATAGGTATCACCACCAACAATACGGAATTCTGTGAGCACCATGACGGGCACACTTACATGACTACCACAACCACCTCTGCAGTAGTGTATAAACTGACTTCTCAGAGCTCCGTAGGTACCGCCATCCCCACCAGCTATGTCATTACCCTCACCGCTGTCAGAGCTGTGTGAATATAGCCACCACCGCCATCCCAGAGTGACATGAAGGCCACGACGAACTCCAGGGAGTCACATGATGACCACCACCACCACCCTTAAGAGTTAGGTGAGTGCCTCCACTAACATCATGGACCTGGGTCATGTCCCCAATGTCTGCCGCAATTTGCCCCCTTACCATCAATGTGTCAGCAAGCTTATTTCTACCCTTCATAATGCTGTATAACACTGATCTCTGTATCTTTGACTCTCATGGGTGAAAGTACTTCCTTTCTTTTTTAATTTGGATTTCCCTGCTATCTGTAAGGATATGTGATTTTTCTCACACATGTGTTGGCCATTTTCACTCCTTTTTCTTTTTTTTTATATTTTATTTTATTTTATTTGACAGAGAGAGAGATCACAAGTAGGCAGAGAGGCAGGCAGAGAGGAGGGGAAAGCAGGCTCCCTGCTGAGTAGAGAGCCCGAGTCGGGGCTTGATCCCAGGACCCTGAGATCATGACCTGAGCCAAAGGCAGAGGCTTAACCCACTGAGCCAGCCAGGCGCCCCCACTCCTTTTTCTGTTAGCTGTTGTTATCTTTGGCCCAGTCTCCTATTATACTCCTTATCTTTTTCTTGTAGATTAATGGGATGATAATCTCTCATTCAATCATTTTTCTTTTGATGGTTTCTACATTTTACCTGACACAAGTTGTTACTACAGGAACACTGTAGTAATTCCTGTCATCATATGCCTGTCATGTTCTGTATGGCTCCGGAGGGAGAGAGATGTGTTGCTCAAGAAGTTCATGATGTTTTCCTAAATTGTACTTAACAATATTTATTTATCACTTACCTATGCATTCACTTCTTTACATGTTTTTTAAAATTCATTTATTTTGGGGGGGCATGCACATATGCAAGGGGGAAGGGGCAGAGGGAGAGAGAATCCTCAAGCAGACTCCCCACTGAGTGCAGAGCCCGACACAGGACTCAATCTCACGACCCTGAGATCATGACTTGAGCCAAAGACTTGTGGTCTTTATGACATATGTCCCGTGCTTTTCTTCTCCAATGTATTCCAAGGCACTTTTTTTTTTAAATTTTGGTTACAATTAGGGATAACATTTTGGATTTTTGCCATTGCACGTCTATCTGGCTTTCACCAGCAGAGAGAAAATGATTGATTTAGGGTGTACATAGAAAATTCAATCAGTAGGCCCAAGAAATGTACAAAGAACTATGGAAACTGGACAATGGGACCCAGAAAACATCCCAGTGGGGCTAGAAGACAGACATACAAAAGAAACTGTAAAGTCTTGGAGCTTGGATCCAAAGGTTCCTGCACCTG